GGCCAGAGTCTTTGGGGCTTGAAGGGGAGATTATTGTCCTCAGTTTCAATCTCACAATTCATCTTGCAGCCAAAAATATCCTCCCCTTATTTACCTGCCAGTCTTTCCCCCTGGCACTGTGGAGTGGAATTTCCACCAGCTGAAGGGGAGACCAGCTGAAGTGGAGAGGACTTTTGGCCTCAAACAGTCCCTGGCCAAGCCTCTCGTACAATCACAGAATGGTTTGTGTTGGAAGGGACCTTAAAGATCATCTCATTCCACCCCCTACCATGGGCAGGGACACCTTCCACCAGCCCAGGTTGCTCCAACCCTGTCCAATCTGGCCTTGAACACTTCAAGAGAAGTGTTGTAAGTATAGAAGCAAAACATCTCCAGCCTAACTACAGAGCCCCTGAATTAGGATTGTGGGAACCAGGGTAGCCTGCAGGTACCACTGCTTGCTGCAGCTCAAACTGCCTGTTCTTCAGAAAGCAATTCCTAGAGTTAAACCTGAGGGCTGGTTTTGCCTCTGAGCTAAGGATCCCAGGGAATTTGTGCTCCTGTTTTGGTTGGGACTTACAGTTTCAAGGAATGAGTGTTAATGCACCCAGAGCTTGTAGAAATCACCAAAGCCATTTTTAGGCTATGAATGGCTCTTAAACCAGAACTTTAAGATACTGAACTGCCCCTTTGCTGCCCATCTGTGCCTCTAACCCATCATTTTCTATACCCAAACACACATAAACACAGCCCTTCACCTCTTGAGATGAAGTCTGGCTTTCTCTTAGCAGCCAGGGCTCAGTGTTTTTCTCCCCCTGATCTGTAAATCCCCCAGCACTGAGGCTGAGAGTCCCCAAAATGTGACATGAAGACCCTTTGCCTTCTCCTGGCTCCTGGCATGACCTCCACCCTGCACAAGCTGGGTTTAAGATCCCTCAGACAGCCCAGGCTCTCCCCAGATCCCTTTCTGTGATGGACTGTAATGAGGGTGGCCACTGTTAAACCACCCCATGCATTCAAAGCCATCCTGGTCCTCCCCTGATGTTCCCCATCTCCCTGGCCATCCCCTCCTCCCTCTTCAATCTGCTCAAGTCGGAGCAAAACCACTGAAAGACAAAGAGTGTTCCCAGCTCCAGCCCACAGGGAAAAGGTCTGGGGAGCTAATTATAGGCTCCTGCATCAGAGCCATCAATAATTCAGGAAGCTCTGAAATGGAGCTGGAGACAGAGGCAGGGCAGTGCTTGCCTGAAGCACTTGGGGTCAGGATGGCCAAATTCTGGTGAATGTGTGGGATGTAGCACTTTCACCTCTGAATTTCTGGGGTCAGACACCAAATTCAGCCTCGCCATCCATCCTCCTACCACAAATAAAGGTGGCGGGATCCTGCTCCTCTCCAGGCTTCAAGCCACCAGGCTCCAGCTTTCCCTCCCAAGGAAGACACAAGTCTGATTTATCACCTCTTCCCACACTCAGCTTTGTGCTTTTCTCTGCCCTGAGTGAGGTTTTGAGCTTGCTGGAACACCATTTTATTAATGAGGTTGAGGTACAGGTATCCACACAGCTAGAAATGCTTCTCTCTTCCCATTCTTGACATGTTGGGATGGGGCTCTCACATCTTTCTGAGCATCCCTTAAACTCATTGAGAAGGAAAACTGGAAGGTAAAAGTCTGAAGCTGAAGTTAACACCACAGCACAGAGGATGTATTTTGCTAAATTGGGAATTCAACCCAGCCTTGGATGCATTTCTTATCAGTTGAGCTTCAGGAAGGACACAGCAAAACAGAGGGATCGTGTTTGCTGAGGCAGATGGAAATGTGTGGCTGGATGCAGCAGGAGAGGGGACCAGGAGACATCCCACCCAAGGCACTCACAGCTCTCGGTGCAATTAAAATCCAAGGCAAAACTCACATCGGGCTTCAAACTGCTGTCCCAGAGGTGCTGATGCCCTGGGATGTGTCTCCATCCCGATTTAACCACCCACGCAGCACTTTCCCTGTTTCCAGGAAGAGAATTAACTCTATCCCGGCCAAAACAGTTGGACTCGATGATCTGAGAGGGCTTTTCCAGCCTAAACGACTCTATGATTCTATGAAACTAAGACAGCTTCCAAAAATTAGCGCCCTGACAGACCTGACTTGCTCTGGGCATCCTCGAAGGTGTCTGGGACTGACTGCAAAGGGGTGATTGTGTCATTTGAGGTGTCCCTATATCGGTTTTGAGCAGCCCTTCCCAGCAGCTCTCACTGCTCTCAGCTGAGGCTCTGGCTCCCTCTCCTGACACCTTTTACTGGTCCAACCATCCTCCCAAAAGCTCATGGGGAAGGCACTGGCGTTGCTTTTTGACCCTCAGGTCTGGGCCACGGGCACGAACAAAACCTCTGAGTGGCTCAGGCATCCCCAAAATCCAGGTGTGGTGCTGCTTCACCCACAGGAGCCTCTGAAGGAATAATAGGGTGCAGTGTTGCTTCCAAACTTCTTCCAGGAAACCCTGTGAACCACGTTGGACCAAATTAAAGCACCACCAGCACCGTGCCAAGCATGGCCTGGCATATTTGGGACACATTCCCCCAGACCTACAGTGAGGATCCTTCGTGTCCGGCTCTTCCCAATGTATCTCTGTTTGCAGGTGGGAGAGGTCCCCTTGTTTCTCTAAGCCCTGATGTCCATAGATCTCTCCTGGGATGGGTTTCACAGCCCCTTAACTCCATAAAAATCCATGTCAGGCCACCTGCAGTTCATCCCTGGGACCTCTGTGTCGAGGAAGGTGAAACCAGGAGAGCAGCAGAAACAACACACCAGAGAAGGGAACATCCCTGGAGGCCCAAAGGGAAGGTACCCTGAAGGAGTTTAGGAGAGGGGTGATCCATCACAAGGATGAACATGTTTAAGTAGGAATTAGTAGGCCCAGGAGCAAGGAAAGCCCTCTGGAAAGCAAAAAATTACCTTGCAAGACTGGGCTTGGTCCCCTCCTGACCAGACTGGTCCCCTCCTGACCAGACTGGTCCCACCTGTGGGGCTCCAGCAGCAGCACAGGGCTCAGTCCTCCCCTTCTCCTTCTCCTGAATGTCCTCTGTCCCTCAGTCCTGCTCCTCTGAGAGGATCCACCAGTAGATGGCAAGACAAACCCACATTTTGGGGTGAAAGTGTCCACAAGTCCCAGGGAGAGACCTGGGAGCCACCTGTGCCAGGGTGGGGCTTCTCTTGTGTCTAATGTGGGGTTCAACTCACCCCATGACATCTCTCTCTCACTCCTTCCAGCTGCTCCTGCCTCAGATTTTCTACAGACTTGGTATTTTTTGTCTCTCCAGCTCTCGGTGCCACATGGCTGAAATCAGTCATGGGATGCACTGATTGTTGGGGAAGGGCTGGTGGGCAAAGGGAATAACACTCAGGTATAATAATGCTTCACTTCCTTGGGAAGAAGGATAAAAAATGCCTATGGCACAGAAGCTTGGGGAAGAGCAAGGCTGGAATGGCTGGATTTCAAGACCTTTAGAAAATAACTGAACAAACAGTGCTGGTCCCATAAACATCCTGGCAGATCACCTGGTTGTATTCCCTGCCTGAATTTGACCTTCTTGGGAGAGACTTTGTTCCCATCTCCCCATTTCCCGTGGTGATTTATTTCATGGAGCATTTTCCTCTCTCTCCATAAGCCTCCCATCCTGGCCTGCTGCTGATTCTATGATTCTATGATTCTATGATTCTATCAAAATAGTGATGCAGCTGGGGAGGGAAGAGCTGGTTTCACACACGCATGTGTATATCGATTGTGCATAACCATCATTTTCTCTTAAAAATACAAAACAATCCAAAAACTTCACCAAATCCAGTATTTTGGAACTTTTGAGTCATCGGCCCCCACTGATGTCATCATGCACAAGGTCTGACACACAAGAGGAGGGAGGATGTGCCAATGCAAAGTAGCTTTTTTGACTTGGGGCTTAGTGCACGAGGACAGAGAATCCTCCACCTTTCCACTCTTCCAAAGTCATTGTTAGAGCCACTTCTTGGGGTCACAGAAGAAACCTGGGCCAGATGTTCCTCTGACACCAACCTTGGCTGTGGAAAAAGCCTTTCATAGAATCCCAGAATGGTTTGGGTTGGAAGGGACCTCTAAGATCACACAATTCCAACCCCCTGCCATGGACAGGGACACCTTCCAGTAGCTCAGGTTGCTCCAAGTCCCATCCAACCTGGCCTTGGACACTTCCAGGGATAGGGTAGCCACAGTTTCTCTGGGCAACCTGTGCCAGGACCTCACCACCCTCACAGTGAACAATTCCTTCCCAATATCCCATCTCTCCCTGCCCTCTCACAGTGGGATGCCATTCCCCCTTGTCCTGTCCCTCCAGGCCCTTGTCCCAGGTACCTCTCCAAGCTCTCTTGGAGCCCCTTTAGGCACTGGAAGGGGCTCTCAGGTCTCCCTGGAGCCTTCTCTTCTCCAGGCAAACACCTCCAGCTCTCTCAGCCTGTCTCCAGAGCAGAGGGACTCCAGCCCTTGGAGTATCTTCTTTCCAAAGCCTTCTCCTGCTCCAGCAGTGTTGCTTGCCCCAAGAACACCCCAAATTGGGGCAATTCCTGCACATTCAACTGTCTTCCATGCCCAGAGCAACAGCAGCATTCAGCCCCTTTTCTCCAACATCCCAGCCCAAGACAGCACTAATTAATTTATGACTTCTGGGGAGAGGACAAGCTAAGCCTTAAATTAAACTTTCCACTTCAACAGGCATCTCAGCAGGAATCAGAACCCTGTCCTGGCCAAAGGACAAGTAGAGCTGTGACTGGCTCCATGTATCTTGGAAGAGATGGAGACGCTGCTCCTGGTGGCATTGGCAGGTGGCTGTGATGGGAAGGGATTTGGAAACTGGCAGGCAAGCAGCACATGCCTGGAGCTCAGCAAATATGTGATCACCAGCCATGGAACAAAAGCCATTGTGAAGAAGCATCAGCCAGAGGAACGAGTGGAATCTTCTTGGCAACAACAGCAAGGTGTTGGAAGAGCATCCAGGCTCTGAGCTCCCAGCGTGAGCAGCTCTGCTCTTACTGCCTCATTATCCCAGCATTCAGAACTGAAATAGGGCCTGAAAGCTGAAATAGGACCTTTTAAACTGACAAAGGGTAGGGTTAGATTAGATTTTAGGAAGGAATTCTTCCCTGTGAGGGTGGTGAGGCCCTGGCACAGGTTTCCCATAGGAACTGTGGCTACCTCATCCCTGGAAGCATCCAAGGCCAGGTTGGACAGGGCTTGGAGCAACCTGGGCTAGTGGAAGGTGTCCCTGCCCACAGCAGGGGGTTGAAACTAGATGGTCTTTAAGGTCTCTTTCAACCCAAAGCATTCCACGATTCTATTATTTTTGTGGGGTTTTATTAGTTAAATTACAATTTGCTTACTTGCCTCCAGCAAACAGCTCAGGGGCTGTGGATTGGAGTCCTTCTTTGGAGTTCCAGCCCAGCCACACCTTCTTCCTCCTGTGCAGAGCAAAACTGCCCTTCCCCATCACAACCCCCTTCACCACAGTGGTTGGAGCTCTGTTGGACTCTCTAGAGAACCAAAACCCCTCCAAACTCCTCAGGAATCTGGCACAGACACACTGTCTGGACAGGGCCATGGTGTGTCCCCAGGGACTGAGGTGCCACCATTCCCATGCAATGTAGATCCTGATGTTCCCATTCTCCTGCCAGCTGAGGACCTGAGGTTCCTGGTAGGCAGACGTGCCTGGAGACAGGTGAGAAATGTCCCCTCTCTGTCCCCCAGAGGCTCAGCATTATCTCAGGCAATCGGGCCAGCTGCTGTTGCCAGGTGGGGAGGTGGAAAATCTGCTCCTGGCACTGATCCCAGGCCATGCTGCCAGCTGAGCAAACACCCCCGGACAGTCAAGGGTCATTGGCACAGAAACATCTGCTCTGCCCCCTCCAGAGTGTCTCCAGTGAGACTCTGCTGCTCTTGTGCAATGGATGGGGCAGTTTTTCTACCTGGCAAAGCTGAAGTTCCGATGGATGGAGAAATGAAGGTGTTGCCATTTTCTTGGCAGATCATCAGCCAGACAGCAGAGAAAACAGCTGAGCAAACAACTGGGTAGAGCCTGTCCCGTGCTTAGGGCTTTGCAAGGCCTCTGCCTTTGATGGAGGGGGCAGCAATATTCATGGAGAAGTGATGGAAGAGGTGGTGGGATCAAGGTGTGGATCGAGGGCTGAACCGCAGCCATGGAGCGCATGGAGCTGGTGTCCACAGGGCAGTCTGGACACGCAGTGCAGTGGGGTGATGAGGCCATGCTGCATCCCTAGTGAGCCCTGGGGTCCTGTTGCTCCTGGTAAGAGCTCAGATTTCACAGAATCACAGAATGATTTAGGTTGGAAAAGACCTCCAGGATCATCGAGTCCAACCTGTTCCCGATCCCCACCTTGTCACCCAGCCCAGAGCACTGAGTGACACGTCCAGTCATTCCTTGGACACCTCCAGGGATGGGGACTCCACCACCTTCCTGGGCAGCCCCTTCCAATTCTTAACAAGCCTTTACATAAAGAAATCCTTCCAGATTTCACCAGAGTCCCCTTCCACATGCTGAACCCCTCTGGTTGCCATCAGCACACTCGAGCAGCAGCGGCTCCTCCCAGGAAGCTTCTGCAAGGTCTGCAGGAAACCAGAAGATCCTTCATGATATGGCTTGGTGGGGATGATGGCATTCAGCCAAAGGTTGGACCTGATGGTCTTGGAGGTCTTTTCCAACCTTAATGATTCTATGATTCTATGATCAGCTGTCCGGGGCTTGGGTGAGCAGGATCTGCAGCTCACTGGCTCCTCGTCCTCCTGCCATCAGCACCCTAAAAACGGCTGTTATCCCATTGGAGATTGGATTTGTTGGTTAAATATATCGGGTTTCACACCACCTTCCAGAGGGGGAAAGATTGCAGGAAAGAGCTGGAAGTTTCCCTCACACCCCATTTTATTTAGCACGTGTTTTACACAACCAGTCCTGTGTACAAATTAAACATTTTTGGCTACATTGCCATAGTTAAGGAGAAGCTGATAAACCAGGCCCCCTTATTCATTATTTGTAAATAATCGTGATGTTTCTGAATCTGTATTTCTTATTCTTGAAACCACAGATTTTTTTTGTGCATGAAATGACAAGACTCCAGGAGGAAGAGCCTCAAAAATGCCCCAAATGTGATGGATTTGGGGCAGTTCTGGTTGAAGGGGCAGAGGAAGGTCAGTGGGTGAACCCTGGACTTTGCTTCCTCTCCTCTGGCTCACTCCTTTCGCAACTGATGATGGATCTTTAACCTGGAATTATGGAAAGGCTGGAGAGATGAAGGACCTGTTGCACCACAAGGGCAAAGTGACATCAGCAGCAATGCTCCTGTCTGGCCAAAAAATTGTGGGCTCGCTGGTGTCCTTGGAGCTGAACATCTCCTGCCAAGAACCTCCTCTCCTGGCCTAAAGGTCATCCCACACATCCGGGAACATGCTGTGACCTCCTTGCAGGAGGGAAATTCCTGGGCATCCGTTTGTCCTGCCAGGAACATGGTTCCAGCCTTCTCCCCTGACAAAGAACAAAGGCAGGGATGTGCTGAGCAACCAGCAGCAAGGTGGAGGACACACTTGTTGGGCTGGAGAGGGACAGGGGACATATCACTTGATTATGGGAAGATATCCAAGAGCCTCCTTGTGCTTCTTCCCAAGTGTCCCTGGGTGTCCAAGTCCCAGGAATTTGGTGGAAAGGACAGGTTGGAGATGACCAAGCCTGTTGGTGTCAGGATGAGGGTTAACCTGGAGCCTGGGTCCATCCTGGCTGGCACAGTCTGGCTGTAACGAGATATTGAATTAATTTTCCATCCAGAATAGGATCCCTGCCTCCCAGTTGCCTGCTGGATGTGGTTCTTGCCCTGGGCTAATCCCTGACCTATTCCCAGGGATGAGCTTGGGAGGTAAATAAGGAGAACAGGCAACAGCTGTAATCTGGGTAAAGCTATGCTGTTCCTCTGCATCCCTAAATCCCTTCCTGCCCCAAACCTCACTCCCAAACTGACAGGGATTTGGACTCAGCTGCTTTTCCCCTCAGGACAGTGGAAAACAAAGCCATGGATCCAAGGACATCCACAACCACTGCACAGGCTGGGAGCTCACCCACATGAAGGGTCACATTTTCTCCTCTGGGAAATTTTGGCAGAGAAACCTAAGGTTATTTCCATCTGTGCTAAGAAATAACCCCTCCTGTGGTCATTTTCCATTCAGCTTTATATTCACCTTCTGAAGAGCTGAGGAGATGTACAGAGCTGTCTTCATCCAGGTCTGTCTTCCTCCAACCACGACTCCAAGCCCACATTCTTCTTCCATATGTCCATATCCACCTCCTGTCACGACTTTAAAACTCTGTGACAGAAAAGTCTTTCCAGCCTGGATCTGACATGGGGATCACTCTGTATTTAAAGACCAAAGTGACCACAAAGTACGAAAAATAAGAAGACCTTCAAGCATTGACATCTGTAAGGGGTTCCTGCTTTTCCTGGTGCTCAGATGAGATCAAGCAGTCTGGGAGGACATGGTAGCTAAAGAAATTGGCATTTCTGTGCTGTGGAAATGCCTTCTGGATTGGGAAAGGAGTGGAATTTCTCACTGCCTGAAATCCTCTGAGGTGAAGCACATTGCAAGATAAAAGGCTGCTCTGGAAAAATTAAACTTAAAATTAATGTCTTGTTCTACTTCTATAGGGGAAGTTTCTGACTTCACTCCAAAAAGTAATTTACAGGAAAATTATGTATTTTCCACATGAAATGTCATTGTAAGCAGCACTTTTCCACTTTTTTAAAAGTTGGCACTTTGAGCTAGAAATACATTTATCAGTGAGTGCCTGCAGCAGCTCCCAGGAGGATTTTCCTGAGCCCCCAGACTGTCTGGAGAATCTCACACCTCCGCTGGAAGGATAAGGGATAAACGAGGTGGCACAAACAGAATGGCCAAAGGGTGAGGGAAGCAGAATGGAAATATGGAATTGTTTGTAGGACTTGGCTTTGCAAAGTACCATAGAATCATGGAATGGATTGGGTTGGAAAGCACCTCAAAGCTCATCTCATTCCACCCCCCTGCTATTGGCAGGGACACCTTCCACTATCCCACGTTGCTCCAACCAGGCCTTGAACACTTCCAGGGATGGGGCAGCCACAGCTTCTCTGGGCAACCTGTGCCAGGGCCTCACCACCCTCACAGCCAACAATTCCCTCCCAATATCCCATCTATCCCTGCACTCTGGCAGTGGGAAGCCATTCCACCTTGTCCTGTCCTCCCAGGCTGTTGTCCCAAGGCTGTTGTTCCTTCCCAATATCTAATCCAAATCTACTCTCCTTCAGCTTAAGGCCATTCCCCCTTGTGCTGTCCCTCCAGGCCCTTGTCCAAAGTCCCTCTCCAGCTCTCTTGGAGCCCCTTTAGGCACTGGAAGGGGCTCTAAGGTCTGGAGTCTTCTCCAGGCTGAAAGACCAGAGCTCTGCTTGAGGTCAGAAGAAATGTTATCCTGCACTTAAGACCTTTTCTACTGTTGGTATCCATCTGAGATGGGGGAAAAGGCAGAGGACTGTGCAGATGGCACTCAGCTCTTTATAGTTTTTGTCCAAAGGTTTAAATTCCCTCAAAACTGAACACTAACCTGTGCAATGCACCTTCTCAGGAAGGCTGCACAAAGGATTACAGAAAATAAAGCCACTGGAAGGTATCAAATGCATAGAAGCAACCAACCCCTGGGTCAGGGTGAGTGGTGGTTGTACTGGGAAACCACTCCAGTGCTAAACTGGAAGTCAGTTTTCTCAAACTGTGGGCTTGAGTCCTCAAAATTGCACAGATAGCCACTGCCAGCTTGAAGGAAAACATCCTAAACTGCTCCTAATTGCAGCATCAGGGGCAGGAAAACATCCTAAACTGCTCCCAATTGCAGTATTAGGGGAAGGGAAACACCCTAAACTGCTCCCAATTGCAATATTAGGGGCAGAAAAACATCCTAAACTGATCCCAACTGCAGAATCAGGGCAGGAACACATCCTAAACTGATCCCAACTGCAGAATCGGGGCAGGAAGCAACTTTTTTCACTGACTGAGCAACTCTCACTCTGGATTTAAGTTCCATAATGGTGCTGCTGAAGCATAAATGTCTTTTTAATCCTGTCCCTGCAGCTGTGAGTGCCAACTCTCTTACTGCTCTATGGAGTCTCGGTCATCCTTAAATCCCTGGGTTTATTCCAGAAGCTGCCCCTTCCTCTCCCTGCACAGCCCCTCAGGCACTCAGATCCACAGGGAATTTAGGATCACATACAATTATGGTATGAAGCCAAAAATAGCCCGCAGAGCATTTGTCTGGCCTGAGCCTCCAGGAGAAGGGCAAATGCCAGCTGATGGTCACCTAAAATAGAAACATCCTGCCTGGAGGGTGTCAGGGCAGACACCAACCCAGTCTGAAACATGGAGAGTGGTGAGGGGGGGCTGCAAACTGGGCACCCCAGCCCCTGGAGCCACATTCTTGCCCTCTGGCTGACCCTGGGGCTCTCCTCTTTTCACCTCCCTGGGCTCAGTTTCGCTTCCCTGGAGGAATGAGGAGCTGCCAACAGTGTGTTAGAGCCTGACTCCGTCCTGAGGAGCAAAAGGAGGGGTTTTCCAAAGTCACAAAGTTCATCACCCACACTCCTCACAACCTTTTCACTGAGGAAAGAAGGTTCCACCTCTTCTGCACTTCTCTTATGTCTTAAGCAGCCAAGAGCAGAAATCAGCTCAAAGCACCATCCAGCCTGGTCTTGGACACTTCCAGGGATGGGGCAGCCACAGCTTCTCTGGGCAACCTGTGCCAGGGCCTCATTACCCTCATAGTAAAGAATTTTTTCCTAATATCCAATCTAAACCCAGCCTCCTTCAATTTAAGACCATTACTCTTGTTCTGTCAACATGGTCTTATCTGAAGTCCCTCTCCAGCTCTCTTGTGTACCTTTAGGCACTGGGAGGGGCTCTGAGGTCTCCCTGGAGCCTTCTCCTTTCCAGGCTGAACATCCCCAGCTCTCCCAGCCTGTCTCCAGCTGTAGAATCTTTGGATCTTATGATCACCTGTGGCCATTTCTGGAAGCCAGACTGGGCCTGTGTCAAGCAGGACTCGACAGGAGCCAAATCAAAGGGAAGTACGTGGGAAGAGGGCAAAGCCGCAACACCCTCCACAGCAGGATAGTCACATTAGTCATCAAATGTGGTCAAGAGGAATGTTTTCTCCACAAGAGGTTCCCATCATTAGGAAGTGGAGGTGTAGGAGGAGGGAAAGGCCTTGTTTAACCTGAAGGGAAGGTTTCTCCATGGATTAATGAGTCAGGGTGAGTCTGCTCATTCTCACTGCACCAACAATTCTGCTGACCAACCCTGCTGGTTGTGCAACAGGTGGAGACAAGACCTGCAGAAACAAGGACCCAACAATCTTCAGTTCTTGGGGTGTGCTTTCAAAGCTCCTCCCTCAGAACACTCTTGCTCTTTTCTCTCTATTTCAAGCTGTAAAGAGAGACAGACACATGACTGAGGAAGGACCAAAAGGCTCCTCAAGCTGAGAAATGTAGCAGCGACAGAGGAATAGTTAAAAGCCATCATTTCTTGGATGGTTGCCACCTGCAAGCACAGCCTCGTGGCTCACTGGAGACTGAGGGGTATCCACGCTGTGTCTCCCTGCGAGTGGCTCTGCTGAGCAACTGGGATAGTCAGAACAAAGTTAACCAAAGAATCTCAGAATGGTTTGGGATGGAAGGGACCTTAAAGATCATCTCCAGCCCCTGCCATGGGAAGGGATGCCACTCACCGGACCAGGTTGCTCCAAGCCCTGTCCAACCTGGCCTTGGACACTTCCAGGGATCCAGGGGCAGCCACAGCTGCTCTGGGCAACCTGTGCCAGGGCCTCACCACCCTTGCAGCCAACAATTTCTCCCCAATATCTAACCTATCCCTGCCCTCTAGCAGTGGGAAGCCATTCCCTGTTCCCTGTCTCTCCAGGCCCTTGTCCCAAGTCCTTCTCCAGCTCTCTTGGAGCCCCTTTAGGCACTGGAAGGAGCTCTCAGGTCTCCCTGGAGCCTTCTCTGCTCCAGGTGAACACCCCCAGCTCTCCCAGCCTGGCTCCAGAGCAGAGGGACTCCAGCCCTCGGAGCATCTCTGTGGGCTCCTCTGGACTGGCTCCAGCAGCTCCACGTCCTTGTGCTGTTGTTCCCCAGGGCTGGAGGCAGCTCTGCAGGTGGGGTCTCACCTGAGGGGGCAGAGGGGCAGAATTCCCCCCTCCCCTGCTGCCCACGCTGTGGGATGAGCCCAGGACATGGGGGGTTTCTGGGCTGGGAGTGCCCATGGTGGGGCATGTCCAGCCTCTCACCCACCAGCACCCTCCAGTTCTTCTCCCCAGGGTTTTTCCTCAATCCATGCTCCTCCAAGCCTGTGCTTGTGCTTGGAATTGCCCCAACCTGGCTCATAAAAGGCTTCAGCACTGACCAGGATCTTCATTGACCAGGATCCTTTATCACTGCTCTTACCTGCTCTGAGCAAGGATAACAAAGCAAGGATACATCTGCATAGGATTTTATTAAAGTAGGCATCATCCACAACTTACAATATTTGAAAAAATATTCTTAACAACTTTTTTTTCCTTTTTTTTTTTTTTCCTGAACAGGTAATTTAACAGGTACAGTGCTCAAGTGTCATGAGGGAAGTCTCTGCCCAGAAGTGAAACTTCAAACTGGTAGCAAAAGGTAAGACATTTTGTATCACATCGAGTTGGTTTAATACAGAAAAGACTGTAACATAGTTACAACAGAGGGTAATGGGAAAGACATGGAAAAAAAATATATGGATCATTGGTCACAGGCTGAAAACCAGAATTCCAAACAGGACAGATACATTTAATGACATTCCATGATTATCACCAGTTACCTCCAGACCATTCCCTATTGCAACACTGTTTATTTCAGATTTTAAAGAATTTAAGTTGCTTAAGTGGCTGCTCCTAAATGAAGTCAGAAACTTTGGACAGGGGGAAAAAAACACCTGCGTTCAAAATGCCATAGGTTTGAATTTCACCTTTGCTGTAACATCTTGTCCAAGGCTTTGGTGTAATGCCACCACCAAGGACAGTGTGTTTCAGAGAAAGAACATTCCTACTCCTCCTCACTCTTGTTAACCCCAGGTATACTGGAGTCAGAACAAGACCCCACGACTTCGAGTGAAGGAAGGAAATGGAGTGAGACCCACCAACAGCTCTTTATTTTACACATCTCATGGATCAGAGGCAATGAGGAGCCCCCAGGGTGGGAATGACGAGAGGCTGGAGTGGACAAGACACTTCAGCTCCTTTAAAGCCCCTCATCTGATGGCTCCAGTTCACTGGGAGATCCAGTTTGGATCCAACCCAGTCTGGGCAGGGCAGGGGACAAACCTGAGCCAGTCTCTCCTTGCAGGGTGTGAATGGACTTCACTGGCCCATTGGGCCAAATATTACACTTGAACAGCAGCCAAAGTTCACAAACTTGTCTTTTTTCAGAAATGTAAACAATATAAAAATGTCTCCATAACAGGCCACTACCTTTGAGTTTAAATACCTGGGAAATACATACCTTGCCCAGAGGTGAAATAATAAGTACAAAAGCAAGAAATACAAGTGTAACAAATGTTTAAAATAACTAGGTTTCACCACAGAAT